TCTCATTGCCTTTTACCCATTCTCTGAAATCTTCTGCTAACACATTTAGGATTGCTTTTCCATCTCTTTTTTTTTAACGTCATGTTAGTATCTTATTTTCTGTCTTTCCATACATTCTTTATATCCCACCTCTGACAGACACTTTTAACCCTTGCATTTTCAGTTCCTGCAACATAATCATGAATGTTACACCTAATCAGGTTATCTAGTTTTTCAAAATGATATCAAAAGGAATACAGGAGAAAAAAAAATAAAATGATGTGGAGTTCCTATAAATAAAATGATGGATTACCATAGTGATTCGGATCTATGCATAAATAACACAGCTGTACTGTATGTGTCAGATGTCTGTCTGGTTGTGATTAATGCAGCTGCCACATGTTTAAAGTGAGCGCACTGCCTTTAAATGTGAAAACATGCATGTTTACTCTGAATTATTGCAGAGCAAACATTCTTCCATAGATTTTGGTGTAGTATATTGTTAAGCTAAATTATTCAACTTGCATGCCCTTCTCAGTGTCTGATACGTAATCAGACTTGAACTTTCCTGTTTTGGATTTCATTAGGATTCCCTAACTTACTACTTCTTCTTAAATGCTACAACAGTAAGATGGATGCTTTATCTTGGTGTAGACTACTTTAAAAAAAAAATTCTAAAGTGTTTTTATATATTTGCTTGTATTTAGCAGAATTCAAATTTAAGTTATCTGACTTGGGTCAAATATTTTCATGTTTTCTTCCTCAACATGCTGGTATTTTATTTACAAGTTTATTAAATCAAACTAAATAATATACTCTTGGTTTCAGAAATTTGACAAAATAATTTGGCATATTAAATTGTAGAAATAAATGTAATAAATTAATGTATTAAAACACAGCTGCCCTGCTCTTCGTATCAGATAATTATTCGATAAAGTGATTAAAGAGTCAAAGGTTGATTCACACCTTACCTTCATTGATTGAGACATAAAGGCATTTTTTTGTGTGCAAAGCCCACAACATTACATGGGTACTTAAACAAACACAGTGTCTGTTGTTTACTGCCCCCTTGTAATAGGTAGTTTAACATTCAGTGATTTATTTGAATAAATGTCTATCCGAGGTATTCTTAACTACCATATAGAAATTAATATAAAATTATTCTTTTTATGGTTTGGTTTTGGTGTTGAATTGAACATATGTAAAATGTGTTCTGTTCAACAAGTACACAAAGAAATAAACACTTTTTGATCTGAAAACCATACAGACTAGATGTTTAGAACTCAGTGTGAATGGTTAGTTCACATGCACATATGTGAACTGTGGTAAACTCTAACTTGATATTACTGTAATTCAAGAAAAAAAAGCTCTGAATCAGACCTCTTCTAAACCAGCCCATGTCAGTTGCAGGGGGGGTTATTAGATATATTTCTCCTTGATTACAATATTTTTTCTATTGTTGCTCATCCAGTATCTAATTAGAAGAGTCAAAACAACCCCTCAGTCAGCACAACTGACATATGCTATATGTATTCCCTCACCCCCTTCACACTTTTTTTTTTTTTTTTACTTCCTTTAATAACCTTCATAACCTTCACTAACCCATTTCCTCCCTTTTCCTTTTCCCCCACTTGGCCTCCCAGGGAGAAGCGTGATTTGCAAAAGCACAATAAAAATGGAAAGACGAAGGAGACTTGGGTGGCAGCTAAGGAGGGTTGGAAGGATAGCAAAGCGAGTTTCCCTGTTGCGAAGGCCTATGGTAGGGCATTAACAGGATGGCCAGGCAGCGTAAATCTTTCACCAGGCGCCTTCGACCTGAAAAAATATATTGGAACTCTAGGCTTTCAGTGACTGTAGAGACATTGCAGAGATAAAGGTGAATCATGCTTGAAACTCTCACATAGTAGTTTTTATAAGATTTTGTTGGTAGGTTTTCTAAAATGCATATACACTCAAAAATGTGTATGTGCATATATATATATATATATATATATATGCACATACATGGAATGTGGGTAGATTACACAAAAACGTTATCATTATTTAATGTTATATTTGCAAGTTCAGTCATTAAGAATTGCCACCTCCTGTGATGGCCAAAGCGTAAACACTTTTCTGGTGGTAGGCTGGAAAGTGGAGCACCTGTCTGAATTGTTGCCTTGCAGCAAGAAGGCTTAGAATAATGGCCTTGAGTCTCTGGTCAATGGGTTTTATATTGAATGCTTGAGTTGTGTCTGTGGAACAGTCTAAAAACATGCATGTTAACTGTGCGCTGTAAAGTTGGAGTGAGAATGAGTGTGGATGGTTGTTTATCTGTTGTGAATTATTATTTTTATTTATTTATTTATTTTTCAGGCCACCCAGATTCCATTTCTTGATATGATTCAAGAACTCGGGCCAAAGTCTGAATAATTCTAGCCAGTCTTTCTTGAAATGTTTTTATTCTTTCATTTCTAACCATATTTCCCTCTATGACTACATTAAATGGTAACATGTGGGTAAGAATATAGAATAAACAGATATAAAAAAGAAATGGACTGACAGACCATATGAATTGTTGCTGAGGCCTACTTTCAAACTTGACAGTAAAAGCTATTTTTGTGTATTAAATGGACTGGCAACCAGTTTAGATTGTACCAGGTTATTTGCCCCCATAGATTGCCAGAGATAAGGAACAACCCACCCCACATCTCACACAACCAGCACCACATGTTACCCTGATGGACACCTGGTAGAAGATTGATACTTATTTCCCCTTTAACAAAATAGTATAATTTTTTATATATATATATATATATATATATATGTACATTTTTATTTGATTCGTCCTTCCGCCTCTTAACTGACTTAACCTCCTTGGGTGTACTATGCTGCATAGGCAGGAATAGTTGGATTTCAAAATCAAAAAAAAGTTTAAGTATCAATGATTCTTCTGATGAGTTTAACATATCCAAAAATAAATGTGTTTCTTGCTAAGTGTTTGATGGTGTGGACGGTGGCAGCAGGAAGGGCTCCTATAAGCACCACTCATGCTCACCACTGTTCAACTACGACACAAAATATCTGCTCCCGGCAGCGGGTGAGTCTCCAATTAGACAGGATGCAGCATCAATTTAAGAGCTAATTATGTGCGTAATGAGCTCACCATCATGCGTCCGCGCCCCCGACACAGAGCCCGCTGTTCCTCCCTCCACCTCCGCATGCTTCTCCCTTCCACCACCCTCTTTTTTTTCTATCCAAGCGCCCTGCAGCTAATTAAAAAACTACATGCGCCGCGGCGCTCTCATCTGATCATGGAAATTAATCCTCACACCAACGTGTTTCTTGGCGAACACAGCACTATTACATGAGCTCTGGAAGCGTTGACGCGCAGTCTAAACTGTGTTGCACTTGTCTTTTTGGACATGTACAGCTCCAAAATAACTAAGGACAGAGCGGGTTGATTTGACTTGGCTGTATGCAATTGTGTTATTTTAATGTGGGAGTAAGAGATTTAAAGAGGTTATTGGTTTCCAGGTGCAAAACATCATGCAAATCCGACCTGGGTGTTTCCATTTTAGATTTAAATACAGAAAATGAGAACAGAGCCTCGTCTGTAGCTTGAGATCACATGTGAACCTGGTGCTCTAAAAGGCAAATAACCAATCTGTGTTTTTAGTGCTCCTTTAAATAAGGAGTAAATAAGGAGTTTATTTGTTCCTGTTCTTATTAAAAATGACCTAATGAATTCACGCAAAAAAAAAAAAAAAAAAAATCACAAATAAAACTAAGGAAAGACCTATACTTTTATTCAAGTGTGAGCAGTTGGGTCATGTGGAAATTAAGAACAAAAATGTAAAGATAATCAGAGGCGAAGAACAAATGCTTTGGAAACTGTTGAAAATCTTCACCTGCACCGCTGAGAATGCGCTAATTTTAACTTAAAGTTATTTAGGTATTTTCAGGTTTGTTGGTTTTAATCCTCATTAAGTTATTAGCTTAAAAGTTACCAGCAAATTTTATTGAGTCTAACATTAAATAAATCCCGCATGGGAAGTTTCAGGAGTTTATTTTATCATGTTTATGAAAAATGTGTGGAGGAAAGTGCTAGCTTTTGAATTAAAAAATAGTTTAAAATTATATTAGATTATAATTAAAATAAACTTTTGAACTGTATCCATTTGTGTTTGTCTTGTTTGCTTATTTATATTTTTGTGTTTTGTCTTGTTTTGGGGTTTTTGTCCCAGTTTCTATTGAATTAGGATCGACCATGTGGCTAAACTAATGAAATGTTATCACACTCCAAATTTTTCTACATTTATCTAAAATATTTATAAATTTAGCAAGAATCACACACTAAGTTTGTAATAGGAATGATCTAAAAACGCATGTTCTTATTAAAAGAGTATTGCTATATATTGGTAAAGTAACCTTTGTTTTTTAAGGAAATCCTAAAAATAAACAAGATATTCGGTTTATTTAGTTATTTTTCACAAAGATAATACATCTAATTGAAGACAGAATTTTCTTAGAGGATAAACATTTTTTGCAAGGGCCATTTTTATTTTATTTTATTATCTGTGTAGGCCTACTTATTTAGTGGTTACTAAATTCATTTAAAAAAAAGAAAGATAAACAAATATAACGATACCATGACTGATGCCTTAATCTAACTCTTTGTGTCCAATATTAGGTTGTCTCCATGGCAAACGCTTACATAACTTTTTAGAGGCGCCCCCCTTATGTTTAGCCCCTCACCTGACAGAAATCCCTCTGCTATGGTACGAATTTATCTGTTTCAATTGGAACCATCATCTTATCCTTAATGACAAAAACACAACAAGATCGCATTTAAGCTCGACAAATGAAAAAGGCGGACCGCGCGTAACTTGCTTGATAAAACTTGACACTCATCTTCACTGACCAATCGCCTCACGACTTGAAACTCTTTCCTCCAATCAGAGCAGATGAGAGAAACACGGTGGGAGGGTGTTCGGCCGCTCAGAGAGCTGACGCGGAGATAGTTGAGGAGAGCTGGTTTGGTGGGCACCCAATGTTGCGCGTCCTTATAATTTGGAGAGGTGTATGCAGCGCACGACCCGTTCGCCTTTCCAGGTGGAAATCCAGGAGGAGCCCAGAGCAATTTTGAACCGGGACTACTGCGACTGAACCCGGTTCAGGACAGGTGAAATTCCCAGCAGGCTGCAGTTTAAGGGCCACAGGATCGATTGTTCTTCAAGTGAGGGGATCAGCAAACGCAAACTATCCGCTCGGGTAGGAATGGATGTGTCAGCTCTTTTGATATAGACTAGACTTCATTCGTGCAATTATCGTTTTTAAAATTCCGCAGATGATTTGAGTGGATTGCAACACTGTAGGAGTGTACATTTGAGGATCTGTGTCGAGTCAAGGGTCACTTTTTTTTGACACTATGATCTGCTGCAATCCGATCTGTTTTGTTTCCTATAAAAATGTCAGAAAATGTCCTCGGGTTTTATGTAGGCCTCTATTAAAGCCAACATATAATGACTGGTAAGATGGATAAATACAAACGAGATTTTTATTTTTTTTTAAAGAGAAAAATGGCAATTTATTGTCATGACACAATAAAATAAATATTTCATAATTTGTGCTTTTGATTGATTAAATTCTGGATTTAAAGGTTGTTATTGTTTTGTTTAATAATATAGTCATTTGGATTCCTTATGCTGACAGATTGCCTTTTTTTTTTTTCTTTTTTTTTTTTTTTTTTTTTTTTTTTTTTTTTTTTCTTTTTTTTTTTTTGATTGATGGTGAAATTTATGGCAGGTTGAAATTCTGTAAACCAAAGCTTAAGAGTATAGGTTTCCACTTTGTATAAATATGTACCAGAATAAAATGAAATATAAGTAATAAAAAAAAAATGCATTTCTGCTTCATCTGTTTCTCAGGTCATGGATATAAAGGCCAGCGGCTGAAACAAGGAGGCTGAATTCGGGATTTCCGGGGATATTTACGAACGTTGGATTCACACTCCTGCATCCGTTCTTCATTTTTATTTTAAGCCGATCTGAAACAACGATGAAAACGAAGCAAGGCCGATTTTTGCTGCTCTAAATCGACATTATCTGTGACGTGTGAGGACATCAGAGGCGCCGAAAATGAAGGAGAAATCCAAAACTGCCGCAAGGACTAGACGGGAAAAGGAAAACAGTGAATTTTATGAACTGGCTAAAATGCTGCCTCTACCGTCTGCCATCACCTCCCAACTCGACAAAGCCTCCATAATAAGACTGACTACCAGCTACCTGAAAATGAGGATTGTTTTCCCGCAGGGTGAGCCACCAACCATCCCGCGTCCAATTATTTCACTAAATTTTTAGATTCACTCAAATAAATACCGAAATGATTCGATCAGACCGTTCAAATTGTATTAAAAATAAGAAAAAATCTACATTAGAAAGGGCCTTATGGAGAAAATTGAAATAATACTATAAAACATAAGAAAATATATTAAAATGACGTTTAAACCGTTAGATTACGTTTAGATTTTTTAAAATGTTAATAACAAAAGAAACAAAAATGTAATATTATGACTCAAATCCAGTAAATGAATTTATTGAACTGTAAATCGAACGGGATTTATATAATAATGCAAAAAAAAAAAATATATATTGATGCTGGGATTTAGTCTATAAAAAAGCGCGTGAGCTGCAGCCTCATTGATCTACAGGGAGTCTTTACAAATGCATTATAGTTTGTTTGTAATTCAGTGCTTCCAAATGAGGCGATCTGCTACCATCTTTTTACACAGGTCTCTACAGGTTTCTTCAAATGTGTGACTGAGAATACCAATCAGCAATTAGGAAGATGGCGCAGCGAGGAGTCTTGTCTCCTATAAGGCCGTGGAAGCAGAAGCAGAGAGCGATTTTTTTTCTCCCATTGCTTCTCGTCTGGAAGGAAAATATAGCAATAAATCAGCCATGAAATTTTGAACAGGCTCCTACTAAATCATTTTTTTTTGTCTGTATTTAGTTTCTGATATTTTCATGTCGCAGCGCTATTATTATTATTATTATTTTATTTTTACTTTATTTAGAAAAACAAATTTTTTTAGAGCCAAAATAAAAAAGGATTAGTGTTCCTATATTCTACTTTACACTCGTTTAAATTTGGGTAGAGTAGCTATATTTGTATTTTATTTCCTTTACTGCAGGGAAGATTTAACCGTGATGACCAGACTAAACAATACTGATAATAAAACAAAATGATTTTTATGAGCAGCAGCTTAGACTTCCTTTACGCCTCTGTTTCTCTAGGATGAAAATGTTTAAATATACATTTTCTATAACAATAAATTTTAAAACAAGAAAAAAATAATATTAAATGGGTAATTACTTAAGCTTTTATTGCCTCCTTTCAGCTTATGCACTTTTTGTTGTCAATGAGGGAGAAAAATAGTTTTTGTTCTAAATTGGAGCTTCTATCCTATAAGAACGGGACTTAATGTGTCTGTGTGAGCGTATTCTGCGCTTCTCTATTTTTTTTTTTTTTCATGATACCTTCCGCAATATTATTAATTAGCATTCAAATATAATAATAATGATAACAGCTTTTATATGTTTTAGGTCTTGGTGAGGCTTGGGGTCACACAAGTCGAACAAGATCTTTGGATAACATTGGAAGGGAGCTCGGATCCCATTTATTACAGGTAAGTGTAATCATTGTCTGAAGCCAAAGAAAGTGCGCATAGTTGAATCTGAAATAGTAACGATTGATAATTTAATTTTAATATTTTTTTTTTTATTCGTTTAAGTCTTATGTGTATTTTCTATTCGTTTCTTTTATGAATGCATTTATTCCTCCTTGGCAGACGTTAGATGGGTTCATATTCGTCGTTGCTCCAGATGGGAAGATTATGTATATCTCAGAGACAGCGTCGGTCCATTTAGGACTGTCTCAGGTCTGTTTTCTGTATTATTTTTGATGTCTAAATTCCCCTCCTTTATCGATCAGTTTGTATCCCTGTTTCTCCGTTGATTACCTGAGCTGTTCTCAACAGGTAGAGTTGACCGGGAACAGCATTTATGAATATGTCCACCCTGCAGACCATGATGAGATGACAGCTGTACTAACGCCGCATCAGCCCTATCACTCACATTTTGTGCAAGGTATTCAGCCGCGTTTTATAATAAGGAATCATACGCTTAGAGTTAGGCCTACATGAGGTCTTAAAAATACATTATTATAAGCATTATTTATTTATTTTTTTTAGATTAGACCCATTTGAAAAAGTGACAGAAATATTTTTCTTCTTTTTCTAGAATATGAGGTGGAGCGATCTTTCTTTTTGCGGATGAAATGTGTGCTTGCAAAACGAAACGCAGGACTAACAAGCGGTGGATACAAAGTAGGACTATTTTATTACTTCTATTTTTTGTATTAGCAGTAATAGATTGTAATAATCAATTGGTGATAACATAATCAAATAGATCTTTATATATATATATATATATATATATATNATATATATATAATGTTATATATAATGTTTTCTATGTACTCATTTGTTATCGTCTTTTACATGTTTTTGGTCTATTTTCTCTTTGCATGATGGTGCCTGCAGTGTGATTGTAGCTCTAGTTTTCATGTGTCCAAAGTTTTCCTTCTGCTGAAATGTTCGTCTTTTGAAAAATGCTTTTTTTATATATATCTGTCTGTGTTGTCATCTGCTATTATATAGCACTTTATTTCAACTATGGACCAGAGCAGTTGTATATTAACAATTACCCATTAATTATTTTACTGTGTAAATTATGCAGAATATTTTTTCACTTCATCTTGCTATTTATGCTGCGTTGCATATTTTTAAGAGATTATTTCACCCCAGTTCTTGTCATGTTCCTGCCTCACCACAGGTCATCCACTGCAGTGGTTACCTAAAGATCCGTCAATACAGTCTGGACATGTCACCTTTCGAGGGCTGCTACCAGAATGTGGGGCTGGTGGCTGTGGGTCATTCTCTGCCACCCAGCGCTGTTACAGAAATAAAACTCCATAGTAACATGTTTATGTTCAGGGCCAGTCTGGACATGAAGCTTATTTTTCTGGACTCAAGGTACAGAGACAGGAAAATAATTTTTTTCTTTAGAATTTTGCAATTGCATTTATTTTGAAATATACATTTGGCAATTACTGTAACAAAAGTAAGTTGTTTTTTTTTCTTTCTACACACTTATTCAGGGTAGCTGAGCTGACGGGTTATGAGCCACAGGATCTAATAGAGAAAACGTTGTACCATCATGTCCACAGCTGTGATATCTTCCATCTCCGCTGTGCTCATCACCTTTGTAAGTTGGGCTTTCATGTTCACTATAGATAATTTGACCTCTTGTCAGCTTTTGATTTGTGCTAACAGTCACACTTCCCAATGAAGAACCCAGAGAATGCAACCCAATAAATAGTTAATCTTAGTCTAATTTTTTTCCCCTCTGTTTTAGTGTTGGTGAAAGGCCAGGTCACTACTAAGTATTACCGTTTCCTCGCCAAGCATGGTGGCTGGGTCTGGGTCCAGAGTTACGCCACTATTGTCCACAATAGCCGATCTTCAAGACCACATTGTATCGTCAGTGTCAACTACGTTCTCACGTAAGTTTCAGTGGTTAGGAAATTTAAATCATTTTTTTTTATATGTGTTAAAGTATTTGTTTGATTTATTTCATAAAGATTAGGTTTCTGTCTGTGTGAAGAAATTAGAGCTGTGAAATGTAACACAAGTCAGGATCTAATCAGAGTAAAAAAATGTTGTGCTTTAGATATTTAGCTGAAAAATAAGCACTCTTGAAGCTATTTGTCTCCCAAAGCAATCCTTATTCTTATCCATCTGTTGCCTTTACACAAAAATCCACCAACCACTGGGGCTGCAAGTTTTAGGCAGTTCTCTGTTATGAAAGCACAAAGCACATTCAGGCCCCTTTGAGACATTCAGAACAAACATCAGGGTTCAGCCCCATCAAAAACCCTCTACTGTCACCATCGATTGGGCAGTCTAAGGAAAGCTAAATCAATCAAACAGTAACCTAGAAATCAATTGCTATCTCATAGATGTAGCACATATTGGATTTTACTTGTTAAGTTTGGTTGATCCTTGAGTTTGTGTGTGAGTGCATGTGATGTGGAGCTGTCTGAGTCTGTAGGTGGATGCATGTGCATGGCTGCAGTATGGGTATTGATTTTCTCAATATAGTAAGGAGAAAACAAAGTAACTATATTAAAATGACAGTGAATTTGCTTGGAGATAATTATGTATAACATGACGGTGTAAAAACTCATACACGGAAAAAGGTGCAAAAACAGACACTTCAATTTATTAAACAGCTATTCAACCTAGACAGTATTATGACCCAACAAGCTTTTTTTTTTACAGATATAAGGTGCTCTGACCATGACCCCAAAGTGGAATTTGGCTAACACAGCTAGGTTTGTACTCAACATGATCGGTTGAGACATTAGTCAGCCAGAACTAAGATAGGATTCAGAACCAGCCACTGCAACTGTACCTGCAAGAGCAAATACTGCTCAGGCACTGCACAGGCTATCCAAACATGGCCTTCCCCCCAAGATGTCATACAGGAGAATTGGTTCATATTTGGAGTCATATTAAAGAGACTGGCTCCACAGGGTCAGGGTTGGGTCACAAGGTTTAAAATGCTAGGCAGCTGCTATTACATACTGTTGATGTGATCAGTTAAGAATAGGCTCATGTTTGCTGAACATTTGACACGGGAAGCCTTTTTCTCTCCCTCGACAGCAACACTGGATTGTGCAGCTACAGAACAGTGGCGGATAGGGTACAAAAGCTAAATGTAGGCATGTAAACAATTGTCTTAAGTGAGCAAAATGAACCATTTTATTGGTTGCTTGTGTTAAATGTGTGCTAGAAACAAGTCTCTCCTCTCAGTTGATTTTTTCATCTTATTGCTTTTTATTGCATCATACAATGATTTTAAGCATGCTCTCTACAGTATTGACTTTTGATTAATCATTAATTACATCACTGGTTTTAATACAAAACACCAGGATTGTGCCATCAGAAAAAAAAAATCAGAAAAATTTATATTTTTTAGAGAATATCCAAATATGTTTTGTCATCACTAGATGTCTGTTTCACTGGCTTGATTGAAGAATCAGATCTCCTGAATTTCACCACTGCATGTTCACACAGCCTCTGGGAAATTTCTTTTTTAATCTTTTTTTGTAATTTTTCGAATCTGTTGACGTTCCAATTTTAGTATCATTTCAGTATATTCAGTATCTTTATCACCACATATTAACTATTTGAGACATATGCTTGGTAAAACTTAAAATGTGTACTTTTTTATTTGATCCAACAAGTGGTAACCTGCTACCTACAGGTTCTAGTGTTTATAGTGACATTAAAAAGGAAAGCCAATAGGACTTTGGAGCTAATTCAAATTATTCTTTTTATTTTCTTTCTTTTTTTTTTTTTTACTTGGATTTAAGATGTTTAATGAATAAGAATCACACATTTTAGCCTCCTGTTTTACAGGGTGCTTTTCATAGTTGTCTAAATATCTATAGCCTGCACCTGTTAAGAGAATGAGACTGTCAACTAATTGGAGGATTACTTTGTGAGAGTTATTTTCATATCACTGTACATAAACTATGAAATATTATTTTATAGAATGTACACTCTACTTTCATCTAGCTGAATATTTGTTTTCGTTAGTGGGAATATTACTATGTGTATATGTGTAATGGAACTTGATATGATCTGCAAAATATAATTATTTTAAAATTTTTGACTGTATATTATTACAATTGTGTTTGTGATTCAATTTTAGGAATAATTTATGATCAAAAATATACCATTAAAACCTTAATTCTCAAAAATATTTACTTTCTTGTAACACAGAGAAAGCCTGAGACATGAGCAAACTTTGTAAATGTGTGTAATTTAATTAACATGGCACTAATTATGCAGTAGTTGCATAACTGCTATGAAATGATTAATACTTAAAGCTGCTTTTAAACAACCACATTTTGAAGATGAGTTTATTACCGTAGCTTGTTTCCAAACTAGCGTCATTTTTCATGCACACTGTTAGAGCTCTTGATCACTTGTTAGATCCATAAGTAATATCCCTTTCTGCATTAGGTACTTGTTCGCAAAATTATATTTATGGCTCCTCTAACCCAGTCTGTGCTAAATGCAGTGGACTAAGGTGGCCCCTCATATAATCCTACATTGCACCTTTTAAACCATTGAACTGAAGTAGCATATTCATGTTTTAGTCTATTTAAATTTATGTTTTCCTAATTGTGCAGGACAATATCTTCAACCTGGGACTCTCCTGATATAATTTGACCACTGCAACAGAGCCACAGACTTAATTCAACAGAGTGGGGAGTTAAGACAGTAAATGCTTCTGTTGGAAAGTCTGCAGATCTCTGAGGATATAGCCCCCAGCAACTCAGTTCATTTAGATTATTTTGGTTCAATGTCCCAGATTTATTAATATGCAAAAAGTTGCTAAGTAAGTAAGCTAATTAAAGCTTTAGCTCCAACATAAGACTCCAGAAAATATAGGTTAGGTAAAAAAAAAAAAAAGTATAGATCATACATATTTATTTCTTTATTATGGATTTATCTGATAAATGTTGTATCCTATATTTTCCTCCACATGGTTAAGACTAAAATTGTTTTACTTAAACAATAAAATAAGACTACATCAAGGGTTATGATGCTAATACTTATGGAAATTATTGTTTTTTAATGCAAATGCTTTAATACATGCTTTATCCCTTTGCTGTAACATAAAATCTATCCCTATATGAATAAGTAAGATGGTGAACTGACAAGTCTAATAAGTTGTGAGTATTGTGATAATTATAGGTGCTTCAAATAAGATACATGGATGAAGCAATAAAAAGAAAAAAAAAATCAAAGCAACACCAACAAAGACTACCTACCATATAACTTTGTCCTTTGTTTTGTTTTAGACATGAAAATTCTCCAAAGGAAAATATAGCCTGCAGTAATTTACATTTCTATAGGATAGAGTTTATTTTTGTGATGTCTAACATGTATGTTACTTCTGTTTAAAGGGACACTGAATATAAAGGAATGCAGCTTTCCCTAGATCAAATGAGTCCCACAAAACCAGCCTTCCCCTATGCTGACAGTCAAAGCGAGGACAGAAAAACGAGCAAGTCTCGTTTGACCCAATCCAAGGCAAAATCCAGAGTATCACCCTATCCTCAGGTAAAAGCTTTATGGAGCATATATCAGAGGAGCTCGTTGTTTTTGCTTGCCAAAAGCATTCCTGGAACAGCCTTAAATTATTCAAACTGTGATTTTGTGTCTTTCCAGCAATTTGCAGCTTTCAACCCAGAGCGTTCAGAATCGGACCAAGACAGCCAGTGGGGAGGGAGCCCTCTGACAGACACAGCCTCTCCTCAGTTGTTGGATCCAAGCGAGGCTGCTGAGGCATCTTGCGCCTATAGACTATATCCAGATTCTGGGTCCTTGTGCTACAGTCTGGGTTTATCTGAAGATGATCTCACCCACACCCAAACTCACACCACCACTTGCGACCGTGTCCGATGCCAAGGAGGCCGCTATTTCTTGGGAACCCCTCAGTCGGGAAGAGAGATGTGGTGGGACACAACACGTTCTGTCCTGTCGCTCCCAAAATTCTCTGTGGACAACAGTGAGGGCTATGAAATCACATCCTACCATGGCGCCATTCATGGTGAGGTGTTAGGGTTGAGACCACAACCATCTGTCTCTGAAAATAGCTCTGGCCTTGTTTCTTCTGGTAGCTTCCAAATGCTATTACAGGATATGCTAAGTTGTTTACGCCGTCTCTTGCCAGTGTGACGATTGCTACCATCTGTTCCAAAATTGCCTGCAATTGAAAGCCAAGTTATTTCACATTTCACATCCTTAAACAGAGAAACAACCCCCACTGTGCCTCTAACAAGTCATCAGATCATGATACCATATGCACTGAAAGCAGGACTTTACATGTTTAGTTTATCTTTAATAAGAATGCCTCTATTAATTTTTCACACGTAGTCTTTTATTTCTCTATGCAGGCCGGGCTCACTGGGATGAAGACAGTGTTGTGAGTTCGCCTGATGGAGGTGGCTCTACCAGCGATTCAGGTGAGCGTTATCATGGTGACCAGTTCCAATCAAGTCCTCGAGAACCAAGCAAGATGGAAACCCTGATTCGAGCAACACAACAAATGATCAAAGAGGAAGAGAATCGTTTGCAGCAGCAGAAGGTGCTTCTGGATGTCTCAGGCCTCACCAAAACTCACAGTCCCTGCTTCAGCTCCTCCATACCCCATCATACTCAGCTTCCCATGCCCAGTGTGGTGTGTCGTGGTCCCGGAGCTCCCAGCATTGACCTCCCGTCGGAGCGCCTCCATCACAGAGATGGCATCAAGGCACTTGGCCCTCATGACAATGATGAAAATACAACCAGCCCTGTGTCCGTGTCTCGTCTAAGCAGTCCCGGTTCTGATGGTGTCCCTAGGTCTGGCCTCCTTCTAACCAAAGACTATATGCCAACAGATTTATCCCCCCACCCTGCACAGGCCCATGGGAGTCCGCTGCTCTATCCTGCCCAGGAGAGGCAGCAGATGGACAGACAAGCAGCTTATGCTTTGACCGGCTATTCCCTGGAGCACCTGTACGACCCAGAGAACTTACGGAGTTATTCTAGCCTGGCTTGTGGGGGAGTCCAGTATGATGTGGCATCTCATGTGAGGATGCAGGCAGACCAGATGCAAGGACACAAGGCCACCTCAGTCATCATAACCAATGGCAGCTGACAGTTTCTGGTGCAGATTGGCCACGTTGTCTAGGATGAGGATGTTACAGCCAATGGCAATGTATATGTGAGCATCACTCACCAGATGCTTCATGCAAGAGACAACATTTTGACAAAGGGATGCAAAATACCTTGTTACTGAACTGACGCTCTCCCGGTGGCCCATTGAGCTCTACTTGTAAATGTCAGGCCCTTAAAATGTTCTATTCTCTTTACTTTGTTGTCAGAGGATGGTTTTCCAAAGCTCAAAGGAAATAATGTTTATACACTGCTGGGCACTGGGAACAAGTGTGCTCCACTACAGGAAAATTGCTGTTATTCTAACGGTAGTGAACTGTATTACCCTCCCACCAGAAGGCTGGTTAAACATCAAGCAAATGTTTCTGTCCCAATCCTCCCACGCATCGTTGAGCATCTAAGTTAATCTGTCCAGGATGTGATTTCCACAGACTTTAGGAAAACTTGTTGTTCCATTGCCCCTTTACCCAGAAACTCCAAACTCCTTAAAAGCATTAAAATGCAGCACCAGAAAGACCTGCAGGCAGACAAGCATTTCACTGTTGTAAGATGTAAATGTTTCCTTGTATTTATTAGTCAGTGGGCTGTTTTTCTGCATGTGTCATTATTTTTAGTCAAAATAGACATATTTTCAGGGGCCAATAAAACAGTTTCTTTGATTGGATCAGATCATTATTACCATTTTAAATTAAATATAATTAAAAAATAACTGAAGTTGAAAAGCAAAATAAAAATCTGCCTTTAAAATGTGAATGACCAGCAGAGTGTGGCTGACAGGCAGAATTTGTTAATTATACATGTCAGTGTATTTTCATTATTTGTATACTTAATTTTACCATGCTGCTGGATATGCTTTAAATTATAAAACAATCTTCCACCTGTGCATTTTCTTAATTTTCTAAATTTCTAAATTGGAAGGATAGAAGTTACTGATAATTTTTTTTTTTTTAAGTTTTAGTTTCTCAATTGATTTTTTTCTCAATATACAATGCATAATATATATTTACATTTGAAAAAAATATGTATTATATAATTGGCTACAAAATTAAATACACCTAAACCTGAAAACTCCTGCAAACATAAGATATCTATGTGGATTTTGTTGCCGTTCACATACAGAACACTCAATGCTACTGCACAAGACCTCTGATATTTGATAGAAGTATTGATGTATGTATAGTATTTAAGTTTATTAGTTGTGTATTTTTATCATTTATTGTTTAATTTAATTTTTATCCATTTTGTAAAATATAATAGTAAAGAAAGAATGATAAAATATTTTATTAGTTGTTTTTTTCTTTGTTTTTATTTTCTTCCCATCAAGCAAATTTTCAAATTTACAAAGGTAAACAACAGTATGCATAACTAAGCTCCAAGGACCGTACATTTCAAGGGATTTTATGTGACTTTTTGGGGGTTTATTTCACTGGAAGGTAAACCTCTACTTTAGTCTCTCATCTTTGGCAACATTTTACAGTTTTTCCTTTATTCCCTTTATTTTGCTCCATCCATCTACCTTTCCACTCTGATTAACTTTGCCATCGTTTCCAAAAAAAAAAAGGTCCCCCGAATCATGATAATGCCACCACGTTTCATCATTTAGAATGTGTTTGCTTAGCATTTTGCACAGTGAAAGCTTTTTGGCATGAAGAACATTTTGCACGTCGGTCAAAAGGTTCAATCGACGACACATCCTTCGTCCATGTTTTGATAAAACTGTGCGAAACTACAATTTAAAATAATTTCCTGATTTTTTATTAGGGGTTTCTTTATCAACTCTCCTATGAAGGCTGTTTTTACTATCAAATTATTTTGCCTTAGCTTTGGATCTTTGCAGCACCTACAGAGCTGCCCCAAGCTGTTTGGCTGCTTTGCTGATTGTGGTTCTCACTACCAAACCTGTCAGCTTAGGTTGAAAGCTGTTTGCTTAGTAACTCTTTCCTGCAAAAATCAGTCTTTTCCTGCAATATGATGTTTATATTTATTGTATGGATCTAAAGTTTTAAATTATTTAAGAAGCTCAACTAACAATTTTAAGTAGTGGCTTCAAAAATAGTGTTCATTTTGGCCAAATGTCTCAAGTTAGGAGAGGTTTTGGCTTTTTGTGTGGAAAATACAAAATAATTGTTAACCTTTTCTATCTGCTGGACTACAAACATGGAGCATTTTAATGATGTGATAAAATAGCCATATTTTTGCAGGAAACTAGTAGACTAACTAGAATAGTAAATAATTGTAGCATTTTCCAAAAATTTAAGGGTTTGTGTAACGGGGTCTTAATCTAACAATTAATGTTCTTAGCAAGAAGAGCAAGATTATGGCATCCTATTTTGGGATTTTTGGTCCTATTCACTATAACATTAAAATCAATTGGGTAAAAGATGGATACTTTAAGTAGTACATAACATTTTTAAATTTCAGATATTGTTTTCTTCAGTGAAAAAATATATCTAAAAAGTAACAATATCCCCATCTGCATGAACAGCCAACTTTTGAATTGTGGTCAGACAGCAAACAAAATCACTGCTTGCTACCAGGATGCTCTTTGTACACCTTTTGCTTATAGATAAGCTGTGGATTAAAGGACAAAATGTAATTATGTTGTTTAGAAATGCCGAGTAGTGATTTATTACAAAAGTAAAGCACCATACCTTAAGTTTTCTAAATATTTGCTGCAAAATGTTCCCCTCATTTGATGCAGTCGATTTTTCACATTAACTGAACAATTTTCCTCTGGAGTATTTTAATGTATGCAACATATTCATGTGTTGCTGGAGAACAGTCTGGTTGACCATCAGAGGTTCTGGGGACTGGACACATTTTTGGCCCAGATACAGACCTCCCATCACTCACCACTGACGTAGCTTTGTGATGATTTGCCAGATTTCCCCCGTCTGCTGTCATTCTGGGAGACAAAAATGCTCCAACACTCAGCTGCTGACATCATCAAGGTTCATAAAAAGAGTGTGTGTGTGAAAGTGTCTCTACTGTTAAGATTCTTTAAAAATCAGAGAGTTTTTTTTCCCTCTAAAGGCTGAAGCTTTTGCCTGATGTGCCCTGAAGCCTTTCACATGTAGAGCTGGTTACAAATTAGGCCAAACTCTGGGCTTTTTGCCCAGACTTTGCTCCCTAAATACTTCATGCTTTCTTCCTGCAGATCATTGTCCAGCCCAAAGAAAGAAACTGATAATTAGTGTAAGGAAAAGTTAAAGTAGAAAAAAAGATGAACAGTTTTCTCACCAGATTTATAATAAACTTAGTGAAATAATGCAACAATTTTTTTTCTGATTCATTTAATCCATCGAAAACTAAAAACGGTGGCAAACCTACAGCCCACATGACCTATCGCTTTGTAAAACAAATTTTTTACTTAGTTAGAGGCATTTTTCTGTACGTTTAACTGGATGTAAAATTAGTTTTGCAAAATCTTTTGATTGGTCATATCAGATGAGAGAAAATTGTTTTTTTCACTTTCACAAAAATTCTAAAATGGATTTATGAGGTCTTTAAAGAGGTATTATTGATTTTTCTAATAATGCTGCTACTTGTGGTCTCGTAGCCTGTGCTCAAACTTAACAAGGCTATTGTTCTTTACTTTTTTGGGTTTTTTGCATGGAGTTACCATTGGTGTCCCTTCTGAGTATCCACAAAATCCATCATGAATATAACGCTTTAATCGTTTGCTAGGTCGGGCCCATTCAACATGGACAAGCTTGACATCACATCTGCCGAACAGCGCAGGAACTTCCTACCTTCAGTAAATTCAGGAAAAGAGCCTACAGACTTGACCTGTGCAGGGTGTACCCCGCCTCTCGCCCGTAGACAGCTGGAGATGGGCACCAGCACCCCTCACAACCCCACCTGGGATTAAGCGTGTCAGAAAATGGATGGATGGTTGGAGCCTACAGACTTGTAGATGCATTGGCACTGAACTACTGAGGTGTCAGTGCCAATCAAATGATGTTTTAGTTGTACAGGGCCAAATAAAAAGATACTTTTAAAGATATTTCTCGGTAAAAACTTGCATAAACTCTTTAAGTAGGCAATTTCAATACTTCAAACTCTTGCGATCCAAACCAGAGTTGTCACACTCCAGTTCCTGACAGCCCATGTCCTTCACCTTTTAGATGTGTCTCTCGTTCAACACACCTGAATCAAATAATCCTATAATCAGCAGAACTTTGTATAACTTGGCTGTGTCCGAATGTCTGCCCTAACCCGAGATCCCTCAATCACTGTAAAGAGCGGGGACTATATAGTGGACTTTATAGCGAAGTCAGTTAGTTGACCGTTTAAAAAAATTATAACAATTTTTCACTCACCGTAGGTAATGTGCCTCCCCCGCCCTGTGCCTGCGCCATCTTTGTTTTTAGTCGCCACTGTCGCCACTGTGGGATAGCGACAGCCTTTGACGACAGGGGGCCACAGTCACAACAAATCCCATAAAGGTTAGCAAGGAGAGCTCTCCTCGCAAAACATTCCGGGATATATCTGTTTGTCTAGTGACCATGGATGATCACTACTTTTCAAGGTGCATCATGGGAAATTTTGAGTCCACTACTTTTTCATCCACTAGGTGTTCAGACACTCACTTAAAATGGTGTAACCACTATAGAGTGCCCTATATAGTAATTAGGGTGGATATTTGGATACAGCCCTTGACTGCATGCTGAGGAGATAATTAGACCACCTGATTCAGGTGTGTTGGAGGATACCAGTACTCGAAGACTTGGTTTTGACACCCCTGATCTAAGTCATTCCAATATTGTTCTGACTGGGTGTTTGAGTCTAACTGGAAGTTGAACCCAAGCCTAGTCCATTTGCTGATTAGCATTTTAGTAACAGGTTTCATTACAATGTTACCTTGTATTTAGCTCAATCCATCCACCCAATAACTATGAAGAGTTTCCCTCTCACTGATGATTAAAATTGCCCTACATCATGATGCCCTCCCCACCATGTGTCATAGTGGCAAATAAAGGGTTCCAAGCTTTAATTTTTGAAGGCATTAAATAAAATGATTTTTTGTCTGTTATAAAAAGCCCTTATATGGTATTAAAAATAAACAAGCTAGTTTTGTCTACATTCATTAGCAGGCAGACATGATGAAGATGTGATGGATAGTCTTAGAGGAATTTATGTGAAATAAAGATGGAAATACTGTATCAAGGTTTCCAACTCCAGAAAAGGCAAATTGCCCCCTTTTTTCCATGAAAAACCACACAGTTTGGGAGGGCAGGTGGCAAGGCTTGCAATGGCTGCCGAATGTCCACTTGATTGATTTCAGGGCCGGGATCGAGGCGCAATTGCATATTCATATGACAATTAAAGAGTTTCTCTACCAGAGCCTCTATAACTCAGTCTGGCACTTAGTGAGGAGTCATGCTTATAAAGCAGCTTCGAAGCAGCGCAAAGGAAAATGTTTCAACATGTTTTCTGCTCATGTGCGTACTTTATGACCCTTTTCACTCTGAATGACATGTTAATTGTTTAAATCCTCTCCCCCATAAATCAGAGTGGAAATTGCCTGTTGTACAAATTACACTTTAAGAAACAGTTGTAAGGTGCAAAGCCATACAATTATATGGAAAAGAAACAGTTTATGTCGTAAGGCACCAGCAGACACCTGGGAAAAGTCATTCATGCAAAACCCTAAGCGACACTTCAACAGCAAGCTTCACTGCACCGGAGGACATTTAGATGTTCTGATCTGCTGGACTAGGATATTGAGGTCATCTGGTCGATCTGATCGG